ACATAAACCGTCAGTCAGAAGCTCTGCTAGCCGATTATCTTAGAGAAGCTAGCTAGTTCAATTTGTTAGCTTGTTATCAGAATCATAGTTGCAGTTTCATCATCTGAGCTGTTTTTTAAGATCTAGGTAAACTTGTTCAATTTGGGGTTAAAAACAAACGTTTTCACATATTTTCCATGTAGTTTTTTGCCAGTTCCTCTTCTGAAAGGTAGACAATTGTTTTTCTCTTTCCCTCAAAAAATCTTAATTTTCTCCTAGTTTGGCCCAGCACAGTTCACTTTCCAATAGCAGCAACAGCCTTATATCATAACCACATATGTGGAAAAAATGCTCAGTAGCAATGAGAGAATTTGCCTTTGCATCTAAGTGATGTTAACTATTATTTAACATTTAAACTTATTTTCTGATTTTATTTATTCAAAAACCCTGGTAAGGGATGTTTTTCTGCATTTGGAGCATCAGAAAAAGTTTAATGGTGGAGGTGATGTTTTAAAGTCACTGATAAACTGCATGCATGCAGTTTGTTGTTTTGCTGCTAATACAGTAGCAGGTGCAGCTGCATGTTTTTGCAATAAAAATGTTATGTTGTAATGGAATTCATGCATTAGTTTTTGTTTGCTTTGAACCCAGAGCAGACGTCACACGCCAGACGACATCAACACTGCATACTTTAGTATTTGTTCATTTATCGCGAGTAATATCGATATCGCAATATTAAGCACTGTTATCGAATATCGCAGGTTTTCCTAATATCGTGCAGCCCTACACCTAATATTGGCTAATGTCCATAACAGCTGTGCTAACATAGGAAAACAATGTTGGTCTAAAGTTTCCATATTCTTTCTGAGAAGTTTATTAGCATGCTACTATTTTCCGCAGCTGAGGTTAACACACTTGGGTGTCTACTCTCAAGACTTAACAAAGGACCAGTGTTACTTGTATTTTGCAAGACCTTAATGCGTTAGCATAATACACGTTAAGTAAGGCAGGCCCAGATCGTCACAAGTGTAAACCCAATTAGTGTGTGGATTCCATTAAGAGAAGCAATCTTGACCCACAAGCAAGTGTTCCCGTGGCTCAGCGAATGAAAGGAATAACTGGATGGAGGGTTTGTGAGGGTGTTTGTTGGGAATGCCGGAGTGTATTGCAGCCACAGCCGCGGGATGAGCGGACGTAACCGGCTTTGGAGTGCCTGGCTGCCAGCGCTTAAACCCATTTAATCTGATTGGATTAACACCGACCTGCCTGACAAAACACGAGTGCGTGTGTATGTGCACTCACGAAGACACATACTTGCTGTTCTGCTACATGCCGATCAGTTGGGGCTGCTTCTGCAGCTTCCTCGAGTTCATGTGGATTTGGGGTTGTGCTGGATGGCTGATGGCATCATGCTGGGCTACAGCATGCATCCTCTCCCATGCATCCATCCCCCCCACCCATGACATGCATACACACATGCACTTATTCACAGAGCTATCTTAGAGCGCACCGATTTGTGCTGTGAATCTGAAACAGACCCACTGAAAGAAGAGGAATGCCCAGTGCTTGACAACCGTGCTAATTGACTAACCCCCTCCCAAGCAATGAAGCTAAATGTTTTCACCACGCCATCTTTTATCTTTTCAATCACTTTTTGACACATCTCCTCTTGTCCCACCACTCATCCCGTCCTCTGCCCCTTTCAGCTCACCCAAGCCAACCCTCCTCCCAAACTCATACATGTAATCATTCATTAGAACCAAGGCAGTTGTCCATTAGGCAAAGCAGCCATTTTGGAAATTGCAGCAAATCTTCCATGAAAAGACATTCCCTCTAATGCGGCAGTCACGCTCGGAGGAAGAGGGAGAGAAAGATGGCAAAGGAGGGTAAGAAAGACGGGGGGGCTGAGATGGGGAGAGAGAGGAGAGTGGAAAGTGGGAAAAGTGAAGCTGAAAGAGAGGCGAGAGAGCACCCCCCCCCACCCCCCATCACATAGCCATAAAGCCACAAAGCGGAAAGAAAGCCTGCTGTTTGATTATAGACTGACACCATCATGGATGGAAGGAAGAAGAGAGGGAGAGAAGATGGGAGGAAGAGGGTGACAGATGAAGGGGAAAAAGCACAGGGATGTGAGGGAGGACCGAGATGGAGGTGGTAAAATTAGCTCCATCACTTTGCTTACGGAGACACTTTGTGACACACCAAGATTAAAAACACACACACACACTCATAAGACTTGTGCACATACACACTTGCACACTACAGATGGTATCCCCGTCTGAAAGAGTGGCTCTAATTTGAGTAAAGTGATAGGACCCTCCTTAACCAATTACAACTCCAATATCTTACAGCTTGCATTAGGGTGTGTTAGTGTCATACACACTTTTAAAGATTTGTGTGTGTGCGTTTGCGTGTCCCATGGGATCAACGAAGAACACTGGAATTGAAAGAAAACGTTCAAAATGGCAAATCCACTCCCAGTGGCTCTCTGCTGAGTCTGTGGCTTCCCATCTCCCACAATGCCACCGTTCATCTCCATCTCAACTAATCACCGATCAAAGACAGACCTGTCCCTCCTATTACCCACCATTCATCTCACCGCCGCTCTCCATCTCTTAAAGCACCCTCTCCCAGAGCGGACACACGCACCATCAGACCAACTAAGTCTAATCCTTCGTAGCGTTTCTCTCAAATGCTTCTAGACGTACCAAACTTGTAAAAACCTCCACAATGGATCTGACTTCTTCGGCGTATCAAAGAAACGTTTTATGCTCCGCTAAAGGGGATGAGTTTTGAAGAGCATCTGTTGGGAAAATAATAAATAAACAACCCTAATCCAGGCATTAAACAGCTGCACGTGAAATGGTTTTCTTTTATTTTCCAAGCTGGCGACAAATGAATATTTTCAGCATTTATACTGCAATTACGTAAAGGGTGTAGGGATTATAAAATGCTTAAATATGATTGATTTTATATGTTTTTGTTTATGGTTATGCATGTGTGTATGTGTAAGCGAGGGAGTAAAAAAACACAACAACATTTGATGGAAATGGTCCAGATTCGCCTGTTATTTTTGCAGCACTGGAATTGCTCGTGTAAAATCCACTTGACAGCTGGATGGGAACACAGCTGCAGAGTGAGATGATGAATCTCAGCACAAGCCCTGCTGCTGCTGCGTGGTTGAACATTTCTGGATGAGTGCTTTCTGTTTCTCATAAGTACAGATTCTACTCCAAACCACTTCCTCCTAAAAGTGAGCAGATGTACGGTATATGTGCGTGCGTTTGTGTGTGTCCCACTCAGTGCATTTCCACCACACCGACAAAATGCACAGCTGATCTAAAAGTTGTGCGTCCAACGCTGCACCACAAATCCCTCGTCGTCCTTCTGGGAACATGGTTAATCTTTTTCACCTTTTGACTGCCCCGAAGACAAATGCTCCTTTGCTTTAACACGATGACAGAACACAAACAAAATGAGCGCGGCGGGAAAAAGCAGCACTGAGAACAAAACCGGGGACTGAACACTGATGCGACAGCAAGGGGAACCTAGAGAGAATGCACGTCCAGTTTGTATTGTGTTGTACGCGATGTGGAATGGCATTGTTTGTCTTTGGGGTGTTATTGGGCTTATAGTTCCTTGCCTCTCCTGTCAGGACTGATCGGATAGTCGATTAAACCTGAGGGAAGAGGATTGTCTCTCTGCTGCGCTCATGCATACAAACCTCTATTCCACTCCTGTCTTGTTTCGTTCCCCTGACCTCTTCAGGTGAACACAAACACAGAAACGGCCATGCAGCAAAAGCAGAATCAGGCCTTGAAACAGTGATGAGAGGGCGTTTATCCCACATCCACTGTGATACCTCAGGCTCTTCATGCCAAAGGGCCAAATATGTTATCACCTCTGACCGGGGGGAACCACAGGAGTCAGGATTGACGCCAAAGCAGCAAATACCAGCGGTTTGTGTGTGTCCCAGCGGCAATAATCACCCGGATTAGAGCGGAGCCAAACCCCTGCAGGGTCCTCCTCTCCTCCCCCACCTACCAGCCCAGCCCAGCCTGTAGCGCTGACCCCCCCCCCCCCCCCCCCCCCCCCAAGTTTGGGTTGCCATGGGAAGCAGAGCAGCCGGCCTCGCATCCTCATTGAGCTTAGCAGCCAGACAGGGAAATTTCCACTTCTTTTCCCTCCCCATTGACCATTAATAACAAAAATAAAATATTGACCAAGCTCAGGCAACACAAAGGCTTGTACATTCCATTTAACAAGCTCCAGCAGCAAGGGTGCAGTCAAATGGAAGTTGATACAGCCGTCAATATGTCTGAGTGAGGGATGCAAGGACAATAGGGAGGTGGGGAAGGGGTTTAATAGGAATCTGCATCATGTTTGAGAATCTCACAGCCAAAACAAGGGATTATTACTGAGGAGGGGGCGTTGCCTGGGTGATTTACCCTAGATTTACACCCTAGATATGAATTCAGTCAAATCTGACTGTCTATCAACAACATGTCAGGGAGGCATTGAGCTTCAGTGGTATTTGTGACAGCGCAGCATGGAAATGTCAATCAGCTCCTGTCTTCCTGTGTCCATTGTCATCCCAGCCTTTCAGGAGGATGCACACACAAGTTTAGACTTAGTTATTTTATTCTACACCCAACCAGTCAATAGAAAACCTCCATGACTTTAGTTATAGACCTGTAACAACCATTTAGTTACTGTACGTATTCAGTTAAAGTTAACAGAATCACAGTTTCACAAATGACTCACTAGTAGTTTAGACTCAACTGCACGTTTGGATAAGAAGCTCTTAAGATTGTTTGAAAGTAGATAGGATGTCTGTGATTTCCTACATTTACATTAGTGTAAGACCTTTATTAAATGTTTTGTCCTGTTCCAGGTAAAAGGTGACCTTTGTTCACCCTTACCTGCCTACTTTACTTGAACTGAATTTGACAGAAGAACCTAAAAAGTTTTGGTTTTGTCACAAACATCAAGACAGACTGTAGGTCTGATTTGAGGTTTACCTCAGAGTTTTCTGCTTGCTCTCCTTCTTGTTGAGGACCCCCGGCACACAGTTGGTGAGCTCGGTCCAGTCGGCATGCAAGCCGCAGCTCCAGCCGGTGGAGAACCGAGAGAAGAGCCAGGTCTCCTTGCGGTTCGGCCGGTAGCAGGTACACTTCTTCTGTCCCGGTCTGCAGTCGCAGGGGACCTCCAGACGGACATTCTGGACCAGGTGCCGACCAAAGGTAGTCCCGCCGGTCTTCTGGATGTGCAAAAACACGATCACGTCCTCCCCCTTGATTTGAAAATCGATCGTCCTTTCCAGGTCCCTGACGGGAAAGTAGTATTTCTTAACGTAGTGGGGGTCCGGAGTGGGGAAGATGTCCCCCTCGTCTTCCTCCGTGAAATAACCGTGCGGGGAGCCAAAATTGATCACCCCGGGAGCCACGTACTGATACAGAATCAGCATAAAACACACGGATCCGACGACTATCAACAAGAATTTGCTGCTCCTCTCGACCATGATCCTTCCCAGTGCGGTTCCCACAGCGCGCTACCATTTCTCAGTCAAGCCGACGACACTGAGCGGGGCGCTCGGCTTCTTCATGTTCGCTCTCCGCCGCCAACAAGGACTCGTTTTCGGAGCTCAGGAGTGGCTCGTTCCGCGACGAGGCGACCGGCGAAGTTGGCTCATGGCTCAGCTAGACGGCTCAACACGGTGAAAGACGCATTGTAACTCGCTGAGAGCTCCCCTCCCCTGTAGCAGACCCTCCTCCGTTTACTTTGCGCTGGTCTCCAGTCAACACAACAGGCTCACTGCATCACAGTGGAGCTATGTACCCAGGATGCAGCGCGAAAACCCACCTTTTCAACCTCGCTCGCTCGCTCTCAGAAAACCAGAAAACACGCCGAAAGGGAGGGTCGCTTTAATTTATTGGTTAGCACGAGACGGATACGTCACACACTGACAACCAATAGGAGCGCACCTTAGAAGTACAGGTCGAAGAGAGGATTTAACAGTGTTTATTAAAGTAGTAATTTTTATTTTATTTTCATTTTAATCTATCTATCTATCTATCTATCTATCTATCTATCTATCTATCTATCTATCTATCTATCTATCTATCTATCTATCTATCTATCTATCTATCTATCTATCTATCATCATCTAATAATGGGAAAATGATCACATTGCTTCTAGTCAGATGAAAAATCATTATAGCATGGTCATAACATATTTAATAATATGTAAGCAGCCACAACCTTACTAGAATTGGGCATTGGGCCTGCTACAGTTGTGACTGTTTCAGATATTTTCACATACAAGTGTATTGACTTTAAAAGTACAAACAATAAAGCCAGATTTATATGTCTCCGTGCGCTCCGCAACAGAGAGACGCACACGGAGTGTTGGAAAGGTTTTTTACATGTGAAGTTCAGTGCAGGCAGCAGAGTGTGTGTGTGGAGTCCCGCCAGGACAACAGAGCACTTTTCTGTGGTATCCTGCCACCATAACACTCTTGTATCAGGCCCATGATAGTGTATTTACTAATGTGTTTATATATTACAGAGACTTTATAATGAAATTTGTCCTTCATTCTCCTCCACCTCTTCATGCGGTCACTACCTCTAAACCCACGTTTCCCACCATTTCCATCCACATTTGCTCCGTATTTTGTACTTTTTCAAGCACAATGTCAGAGGTCAAGTGTCCAGCAGCTTCCCCCTGCTAGGACACTTGACTGTCTGTTGACATTGGTGTGGACCACGGACAGATTTTTGACTTTAGAAGTTGTGTGTGTGTGTGGGGGGGGGGGGGGGGGGGGGGACAACAGCAAAAATATGTATAACACTATAGAGGCTCTTTTATGCAATGTCAGGAATGCAGACCTGTCAAGTACACAGGTGGCAGGAATGGCCAACCACTCGTCAGCAAGTATCAGCAGAGCCGATAGATGAGCTTATGGACGGTTCCAATGTGAAACACGCTTCAACCCAAGCGGTTGTTTTTACTTGGTCCTAGTGCTCAACCAGCGTTTATTTAATATAGCCTAATATTGTTTTTTGATGGTAAAAAGTGCAGGGGACAAAAACACACACACACACACACACACATACACACACACACACACACACACACACACACACACACACACACACACACACACACACACCCCAAAACTATGTCCATGCTGTGGAAAGATAACTTTGTTGGACATGTCCAATGCTACACGGATGAATAAATATTCATATATTTGGACTTTTCTGCGATGCATTCTTCATTCTGCCGCTAAATGCCTTTTCACATTTTAGTGGGGCAACAGCGGTGCTGGTGACGAATATACAGTAAGCGGTGTCCTGACCAATCATGAACTTGCGGTCTCCGTTACTTTTGATGGATTTTTAAAGTTTTGGGCATGTCTCCGTCACCCTCTGTGAGCCCGTCGGAGAGCCTTTGTGCCGACAGAGAAGTATAAATCAGGCAATGTTCCTTCCTTGTCTGATTATAAATACACCCATTGTTGGCCGCGATGGATTCAAGGTAAAGGAACCATGTGTGCAAATCTAGACAGTACATTGGCTGAGATTTATGCATTCAATGCTTATTTGGACAGCATTTTGATGATAAGATTGTGATTATTTGCAAGGCCTACATGTTAAACTTTTGATATAAAATCCCAAAATTTGTTAAGTGGTGAGGTGGTTTGTATCTTTTATTCTCAGTGAAGGTAATATGGATTAGGTGATAAATAAGACATTTCCAATAAAAGTGTAGAAACTATAAATTTTGGTATAAAATACAAAATGTAATTTTAAATAGAAATTGAAATTCCACTTGAGCATTCTGGTTGGATTAAAAAAAAAAGAATGCATTTTAAAGTGTCCCAAAGCCACTAACAGGAGATTTCTACTGCATTAAAAACTCCAAAGTTTACATTTAATCTCTTTTTTAATCAGTAGACATGTTTTTACTCCCTCTGTTGTCAATATTGTGTGTTTTATGTATTTGCAGAAGCACACAGGTTTTTCTGTTTTAGCATCTCAAAACATCTAATAAAGCCAACACTGCAAACAATAACGACTGAGAACAAGAATTTATGCAAAGAATCAGGATAACAAAAGAAAATAAACAGATAAAAATGTGTTCTTGCTGCATTTCCAAGAGCAGTAAATCACAGCTCACTTTGACTATTGCACAAAATCTCTGGAGGAAAATCCTACATTTAATAAAATTATTAGGTGGTTGTGCTTCATTGAAGCAGATGATAAATGATAACAACTCACAAGTTTATAAAATCTAATAAAAGGCCACGGGGCAAAGCTGGATCAGCTCTGTGACTTGGGCCAAGTTTGGCTCCAGTTTGTCCTTGGCTTTCACATTGTGGTGATAGAATTATAAATTGGAAAAAAAAAACACAAGAAGCAAGAAAACAAAATAAAAATAAAGAAAGCAGAAATTGTGTTCTGAATTTGTTTCTGTAAGTAAACCTCCACGTTTTTTCTACCATAAGACACGTGGTGGTTTTTATTTACTTTAATATTTTTGCCTAAAAAATGCACAGTGCCTTGAGATCCTGCATGAACACAGCAAACATGATCAGGGACAAGGAGCTGGTCCAACACTTCCTCAGAACGAGCCTAACATAGAAGCAGGAATCCACATGCTGCTCTTGCTTGTTGTACAGGAACTGGATACCCCCCCGTACTCCCACTGCAGCCCCCCACAGAACGCCACGAGACACTCAGCCATGACCAAACTCCCATGACCCCTCTCATTTTCCCAACATGAATGTCCTTTATGAACAGATTTGATGTCTGTAACAAACTTCTTAAACCTTTGGACCTAACCTCATCAGACCAGCTGACGAGGAACACTTTTACATTCTGAGTATTTTACTTTGGACTGATGAGAAAGGGAGTTTTAAACCCTAACAGCATCATCGTTCCCTTAATAATCTCATGAGATTAATGCAAAAATGTAAAAACATCTTTTTATTCCATGTTTTTACTGCAACCACAAATCACACAAACAGCTGTGTGTCTGAAGCTCCAGAATGAATCTTTGATTGGAAAGATGAGATCAACTCCCGCTTCTCAATGCTTTTCTCCCGCTGGTTGTCAGCAAAGAGTCCTGCTGATCCTCTTCTGCAGCGCTGCCCACCAACTTGTAGCTAAAGCTGAAACGAATCACAGGGTCGACCAGGTCTCCGAGTGAAGAGAAGAACATGCTTGAACTGCTGATCGACCCTGATCATGGTTTCCACAGACTCTCCTGCAGGTCTAAAAGCAATGTCTCTGTCATTTATTGTGATGATAAACATGTTTTACTGATTTCCTCATATTTCTTGCAAAAGGCTGAAAGCCTCAGCAGCCTTCAGGGTGTGGAAACAGCTGTTGGTTGGTGCTGACAGCAGATGAGGTTAGTAGGAGATGAGATACGTTTTAACTTTGAGCTTTTTTGTGTTGATGATGCGATGTTTGTTTAGTCAGGCAGTAATTTAATGCTGGTGCTTTTCATGATTTCCCAGTTGGAGGTGGCTCTCTGAGGGCCAGTCATCGTGTAATTCATGGATTTTTAGTTGGGCAAGGTGTTTGCTGCTTTTAGATGCACCAAATATTTCCAGCCCTCAATATTAGAAACAAATGATTTGTTTAAAGTAAAACTTACATAATAAGGGAACTACTAGCTGTAGCTTTCACCAGTTCTGGCTATTGCACATTATAATTAAGAGGCTGATGAATATTCAAGTGATGGTTAATAAATTCTGTCTAACCCTTGAAATGTATCTGTTTTCATTTAATTTGAGGCCTAATTTGCTTTTATTGTATGATTTAGGCCCTGTCCACACGTAGCCGGGGATCTGCCAAAACATAGATATTTTTCTACGTTTTGGCCTGTCATCCACACGAAAACGGAGTTTTTTCACACGAAAACGGATCTTTTTAAAAACTCCGGCCAAAGTGAAGATCTGCGTTTTCTCCGTTTTGGGTGTCTGCGTGTGGACAGACAAAACCGGAGTTTTAAGGTCCGCGACATCACTTTCCACGACAAAAAAATGCTGACATCACGTGTGCGACCTGTGTTTACACTAGCCGACAGCATGGACGCTGCGCTCGCTTTATCAATTGTCCAAGCGCTTTTTGCTTGTTTGTTTTTGCAAGCGGAATTACTGCTCCTTGTGGAAGACCACAGACGAAGGACGAGGTTAAGAACTGGGGAAGTACTGCCGCCTACAGGTCTGGCATGTCCTTAACAACGTATTTATCCGGGTACGTGTGGACAGTTTTTTTTTAACGAGGTGGTGTGGATGCAAGTTTTTGGAGGGGTGGATATTCGTTTTTGAAAAAAACCCGGCTACGTGTGGACTAGGCCTTAGTGATCTACACTCTAAAAAATTAAATGTTGAGTTTATATAAGCAATTCAGTGTCTTCAATGTAAAATGTAAAGTACATTTAATTTTAACAGGACAACATATATTACTCTTTACATTTAAGCAATAGCTTTAGTTGAACCAATTGACATAACCTGGTTCAGTAAATTCAACATTTAATTTATTACAGTGAATTTATTAGTTTTGTCATATTTATTTGATTATTTTTTGATTGCAGTTTACTTCAAAGCACTTCAGTGAACTTTGGTTGTTTTTACAAGTGCTGCAGAGACTTTTTTCTTCATGTTGCTGCAAATATTAATGATCAATTATTGTGATAATAAAAATCCTGTATACAGTTTATTATCAATGCATTTGATGACTCTGGAGCATCAACCACAGTTTTAAAACATAAAATTTCAAGCTAAGAGAAATACTTAGTATAGATATTGTTGAGAAAAAATAATGAAAAAGGACACAGAAATCACCTAAGCAAGCTTGTTTAATAGTCTTAATGAAACTCATACTGATTA